ATCTGGGCCCTCCTTTCTCTGTATCTCATGGCTAATTTCAAATTCTTATAGTCTCTTCATAAGATTATTGCAAAAGCTTTGTATGGTCCTCCTCAAGAATTTAAGCTTTCTGTCTTGTTTTGGATAATGATTCAAGGTTTTGATTCTTTTCCTTTAGTGTTTACAGTAGTGTTAGATGTACTACATGATACAAAGCTAGTTAATTCTTTGTCACAAAAGGCTAGTAATTTGTGTTTTATGGAAGTATCTTATTTCTGCTCTTGTTGCCAAACTTTTGATCAGTTTACTTTATCAGAGAAGAAAACAGAGAATAAAACGTTCCAGTAGAATTCTTATGTTTTGTACCATTTGATGGTATTTGATTATGAGGTTCAGCAGAAATGGTGGGGAATGCAATTTTAGAATTAATGGTCATATCGTTACATATCTTCTCCTAAATTATTTGGACACACAGACAGATCTAGGTGATGTTTAACTCACAGGGATGATGGTAAAGCCTGTGAGTTCATAGTGGATTTTGGTTGGGTAGGGCTGTCAAAAATTTGAACAAATTATGTTTAGTTTTTTCCACTGATAGTCATTGGAAAGACTTCTGTGAATGTAATTCTGTGTTAAGCTCATTAAAATTTTTCTACCCAAAGAAGAAATCTTGTCCTTCGTTAGATCATTTGTACTTTTCTTACGGAATGTTTTATCTGTGTTGTTAGAGTCATGCAGACTTAGTCTGACTTGGTTGTCTGTTCATAAAATGATCTGAGATATAATAAAAACAAAGCTTCTTTGACAACTGTCTCTCATGTGATTCTAAAATATATTGCATAATTCAAACAATGTAAATGTATGCAAAATATTTCAGATTCGATTTTCAGATGATAAATTGAGTGCAGGTGTTCACTGTTTACCTAATTGTAAGATAGTCTGTTTTGTCCCTACTTGAAATATTCTGAACATAGCCTTACAACTGCAGCGTGGGAAGCCTGTGCATACATGCCTTTGATTTAGTTTTACTCTAATGTATACATGGTTCCTTGCTGGGCAAACTTCCCAGGCTCCTTTGCCAACATAGTCTTGTGAATGATGTTAATGCTGGGAGGATATGCCATCAGATTACTTGTAGCCACGGACCATTACATTATTATGATAAAACAATGGTTCCTAACTTTTTTGTGTTACAAAACCTCTGAGAGTTGTAGAGTCCCTCCTCAGGGGAACAATTGCATTATACACAAAGTGTGTTTTTCCAGTCCCTGTGAAGCCCTATTTTACCTTGGATTCAAAACTCTGCCATGTTTTCATACATTGTGTATGGGAATATCAGTGGAAACCACCTTTTGGGAAGGCAATGGGGAATATTTGTCTAATTAGAATACACATACTCCTATTTCTGGGTAGAGATTTATGTGATTTTGCTTACTAGCCAACCCCCTATTAAAGCTGCTAGAAAGTGACATAAACTATGGAACAGGAGTGGGAGAGATGACTTTGGCAAAACCTAGCTGGAAAGCAAGGGTATCACTAGTGACAGTCTCAGAAGATCTGAGAAGGCCAAGTTATAAGCAAATAGTGAGGCAAGCAGAGAGTTTGCTATAGAAGTGTAAAAACTCAGGATCATAGCACTAGCTACCTCGGGAACTGAAAAGATCGGGAGGGTTTGTTCAAGGCTGCTTAAGTGGCAGCCTGATCTCTAATCACTTTCTGTGCTGTGCAACTATTTTAAGAGAGGCAGGTGTGGGCGAAGTACTCTTTGTGGACTGGGAAGACACAGTGCAGTCAAGGGCTTAAGTGCCTTGCCAAAAACAGTGACTAACAGACCGTGCATATATGACTGCTGAAAGGGGAAGCCCACAGCTTCTGTAGTTCTGTAGCCACCATCTTGGTGGCTTGGCTTTCTATCCTGGCTGGGAATGGGAAGAGTGTGTTTGGGCAATCTAAGTCTAGTCTAAGAACAAAGACTTACATGCTACCCTCAGTCGTTTCCTTAAGCATTTCCACACAATTACACCATACTAAGCTATTGGAAGGTTTTCTTCCAGGAAATAAATCAGTTCAGAAAGAAGACCACATGGGACATACAAGTTCAAAGTCCATGATATAATAGAGATGAAATTATCCCTGAGCTGGAGGTGTAGGGAGTTCTGGGTTGATAGCTGTGTGACTGGCAGAAAAAGATTAGAGAACTCCCAAGAGTGACTTTTTAGGAATATAAAAATAGCAAAATGCTTTGTGTGTTATGGCATCTTGAAAATAGATTTAGATGAATAGCTAATGTTTGATGTTGAATGAGTCATAAGCATATAGAAACCTAACCACATCAAAACAAAAGATAAGCTCTAATTCTATGTAAAACAGTGAGTTATTCAAGAAAGAATTTTAGTAATGTGTGGTTCAGTTACGAGTAGTGTTTCTACAGTCAAGGGTGTAAACACTGAATATTGATTTAATCAAAATTATGATATTGAAAGGATGGAGAATAGGAAGTGTGGGTTTGTATTGTGGTGAGTTTGGAAAGGACAAAATTCATTCTCTTCAGTAGATAAGAAACAAAGGAGAAACATCAAGAGACAGTATGAAGAGGTATTATTTAGAGGTACTATAAGGTAGTTGAATTACTGAGCAGGATGTTTCATCCTCTGTTACCCTGTTCATGGCTTCCTGGCGGATGAAGTATTTTCTCTCATCCTTTTTTTTTTGGTTTTTCTCCGGTACCGGGAACCGAACTCACGACCTTGCGCTTGCCAGGCAGGCGCTTTGCCGCTGAGCTAAATCCCCAGCCCCTTCTCTCATCCTTGTTTCTGGATTTTGCTGTCTGACTTGCTTTGGATAATGGTATAGTTTTACCAGATGTAACATAGGTGGACCCTTAAAATATGCTTCTGCTATCAGGCTTGTCCTCTCATTCTTGTCCTCTCTTCTTACTGCTGTAAGAAGATGTGCTCTTGTTGCTGACCCCCACCCCCCAGTGTCTGCGGCAGATCCTACACATGGATCAGAACTCCACAGCCTTGCGGCGGAAGCAGCAACTGCACAGCTGTGTGAGTGAGATTTTCTACATACTTGTTACTCAGCAAAAGCTGACTGTTATATATGAAGATAAGTGGTAGAGTAGCTGGTCAAAAGAAGAAGGACTGCTTCCAATGAAGACAGTGGGGTAGAAGGGAAGGGATGAATGATTTTCCTTAATAAATTTTGTGGGGTGTTTCATTTTTTAAGCCACGTGTATGACTTCTAAGGTCATCAAGTGATGTGTTCATTATCTTTTTAGTGGAACAATGGGAAAAGTCAGTTATTACTAGTTATCTTTGGAATTTACCCATGTGTTAAGGAGAGAATTCTGTTCATCATACGGACAACTCTGTCATATATAGTAGGTAGCTTTGTGCAGATGCCAAAAGTACAAAGTGGGATTCTACCAAAATTATTTATATATATATATATATAAAATATATGGGTATTTATATATATTGCTTCATATTGTATATTCATTTGAATTTTTTTTCTTTTTGGCTTATGCTGAGGCTTGAACCCAGGGTCGTCACACTGATCTACATCTCCAGCCCACTTTAGTTTTTAGGGTTTTTTAGTAGATATTTGCAGTACATAATGATTACAGGCCTTGTGGGAGTTGGTACGTGTACATAGCACAACTTTACTCTTTTTATTCCCTTTGTCCTTCTACCTCCTCTTCCCTCCGTCTCTTGATCCCTTCCCACTTGAGAAAGATTTATCTCTGAGTTTTCTTTTATTGTGCTCTTTATTTATACGTTAGATTTCTGATATAAGAGATAAGCATTCAATATTTGAGCTTGTGTGTCTGATTATTTCACTAAACATTATGGTTTCAAAGTGCATCCTTTTTCTTACAAATGGCTCATTTATCTTTATGATGGAGCAGTACGCCACTGTGTGTAAATACCACAGTTTCTTCATCCATTCATCTGTTCGTGGACATACAAGCCTCTTCCAAGATTTAGCTAGTATGAATTGTGCTGCTATAAACATAGATACACATGTATCACTGTAATATGATCTCTTAAACTCTTTTGGGAAGATAACTAGATAGGGAATAGCTAGGTTGGATGGAATTTCTAGTTTTTTGAGGGATCTCCCAGCTCTTTTAAAAAATACTGTATTTTGATACAAATTCTCTAATTTGTTTAGTTGCCCAGGCTGGGCTTCTATTTGTCATCCTCCTTCCTCAGCCTTCCAGAGTGCAGGATTATAGGCAGGTGCCACTGTGTCTGGCCTATTGCAAATTATTTAAGTCAGCCTTCTTTTCTTGGCTTGAATTCCTGGAGGCCAGGATGCACATGTCATTTGTCTTGCTGTAGCTGGCATTTAATACAGAGCTTGGAGACAGGTAATCACTCAGTGAGTATTTAGCTGAATTATAGTATTGCGTGATTAGTTTGGTGATTCTTCTCAAAATGCTTAAACTGTTACTTGTATTTTAGTGAATCTGAAAGATATTTATGCTTTTTCTCACAATGAAAGACTGACCATTCTCATGTTCAGAAGTCAGCTCCTTTAAGGAGGCTAGATGGATGTTTTCAGTATTAAAATGAATAAGAGAACTGTGACCTTTAAATGTCTTGAGATATGAAAATAATATAGAGGATTTGGATTTTACAGATGTGTATATTTCTTAAATGAAGAGTTCTCATACAGTAATTCCTCAGCCATAGCTTCAGGCATTTTATAAATGGATTTAGGGGGGTAGTTTATGAGCAAAGGGAAGAAAATATTGTATTTATCTGCCACCTGAAACTATTGAGGGGATTCAAAACAGTAGGGATTGCACCATTCCTATTTACTCTTTGTTTTATTTTGCTTTTAGGGAACAGGGATCATATTATAATGTCATCAGTAGCTCATTAAATGGTTTGTGAATTCTCTGGGCTCTGCCTCTTGTGTTTGCAATTGTTTATGAAATAAAGGGCTTGTTTTTATTTAAACTGTATTGTCATTTCTTAATTCCTTTCTTTTTTTCCTTTTTACACTAGTGTAGTGACTATGACTTGGATTTCGGAACCGAGTGTTTGCAGTTGGCTCTAAAATACTGTGGCACTAACGCCAAACTTGTAGAAGGATCACCCGATCTCTGGAAGGTGAGAGAGAAGGTACCTCGTTCTGGCTCTTCTCCGCTTGCGTGTGCACACGTGTGTATGTGTGCCCTTATGTCCTAAAGTGATAGAATGATTAAAGATGGCAGAAGAGTTTCACTGGGTTTCCTGAGCTCTCCAAGTACGGTTTCATTTCTGTTCCCTGGCCTCAAATAAATTCACTTTGACTAATTCAGGAAATGCCCTTTTAACCCAGGAATATGTTTTCTTTACCATTTTTCCCTTTCTAACCTTCTGTATCCCATTCACTCAATTGGATAAAGCTGCAGCTCTGCTGCTCAGGGTGCAATATTTCCTTCCAGGCTGGACTGGTAGCTGCAGCTTAACTGGGCTGCAAGCCTGTGTGCCACAGCCTAAGACAGTGACTGGACGCTTTCTTGGCCCCAGATGCGGAAATGGTCTCTTTCCTTTGGCCAGACCCAGCTTGTATAGTAGCAGGCTTACGTCTTTCGATGGGAATGGAGTGGTGGAGTGGTGGCTGCACACAGAATAGGAGCACAGTCACACTCACAGTGTTTCATTAGGTAGACATATGTTGAACTGCTCCTTAGGTAGAGGAGAAATAGAGGTGTAGGATGATCTTGTAAATTTTAAAATAGGTGTAAATTCTTCAGGAATATTGTTCAGAATGTTGAGAAATCTTTATAAAATGTCTACCAAATCCTTATTTGTACAGAATCATTCTAATTGAGATGATATAAATTCCTAAGCATAATTCCTTATTGATTCTTAAGGCAAAAAAACCCTATACTTTGATTGGGTATTTTTCACAGTGCTGTGGTGGGCCTTGCCGCATAGTAAGATGGTCTCACACACATTAAAATTCCAACAATATCGACATGTTTGGATTGTTGCTTGGTAGAAAAAAGTCCTGCAGTATAATGTCTCGTATAAGGATGTCTAAATGCTATCAGCCCAGCAAGCAAATGCATTTTTCCATTTTGTTTGTGTTTTGCTGTATATGTCTCCCATGGGCTTCTCTCAGTTGCACTTTATGGGCATTTCTGAGGTTACCAAGGGATATGTTTGATGTCTTGCCCCGGCAATGAGTCAGAGAAAGTCAGTTATTGCTGTTCATCTTTAGAATTTAACAATGCGTTCCAAAGAAAACTCTTCTCACTATATATACATGGTAGAATACTTAGGATAGTAATTAATATCAGCGTGCTATAATATCTTTGTGACATAAATCTTAATTATGAGGCTTTTGGCAATTGCTAGTTAAGCGTTTGGTCAAAGATCCTGGCCACATCTCTGGGTAACTCCTTTGCCTGTCTGCTAGACCTAGTTTGAAGGTCCTGAAAAAAAAGTGGAAACACTGGGACATGGTGTTGGCACTCCCCTGTCAGTACTCTGGCTTCACTTGACGTCTTTGGAGGTATGGTTGTTCACCTCTTTGGGGTATTCTGAGCCTTCATCAAGCCTGTGAAGCACTGAGGTCTGTGGCTAACCGAGAGATACCCCATTGCACTTTGAATTTTCACTGTCGCTTCACAAAGTTATTTATTTTAAAGTGCTCCTATTTCATTACTGTCTTTGGCCACAGAGAATTATTCCTCAGATGCATCTTCACTCTGTGCCTCCTCGTTATGTGCATTGCAGGTCAGGGCACTGTGATGTGCTTGGTCCATCCACAGTTCCTTCCTTTATTGGTGAGTGACTTTTGTACATGCTGTTGTCTGGGAATTGTCTCCCCCCAAAACGGACGTTCGTGTCGTAAGCTCTGGAACCTGTGAATGTGATCTTACTTGTAAAGTGGGTCTTTGGAGGTAAAATCAAATTAAAATGAAGTCATAGTGAAGAAGGGTAGGCCCTAAACCCATCATGACTGGTGTGCTTGTAAGAAGAGACACACATGCAGGAAGAGTGCTGTGTGAGATGAAGGTAGAGATTAAGGTGATACATTTATGAGCCGAGGAACTCTAAGGCCTACCGGAAGCTAGCAACCAGGCTGGGAAAGGATCTTCCCAGTGGCTGTCAGAGCAACCCCGAGTCTGTCCACGCCTGGATTTCAGACTTGGAGCCTCTGAGAGAATGGATATCTGTTACTTTAAGCCATCCAGGTTGTATTAGTTTCTTTATCTGTTTTTTTTTTTTTTTTTGTCTTTTTGAAACAGGGTCTCGCTATGCAGTTCAGGCTGACTGTGAGCTCACTGTGTAGCCCAGGCTGTTCTCTAACTCGTGACGATCCTTCTGCCTCAGCCTCCTGAGTGCTGGGATTACAGGCATGCGCCACCACGCCCAGCTTCAGTTTCTTAAAGTAATCCTGAAAACACATGCAAGGGCCTGCAGTGGTTGGGAGAGTACCATCACTTCCCACACTAGCGCCGAGGCAGAGCACCTCAGTGCTAGGAATGGGTCTGACTAATGATGTACATCAAAAGAATGTGGGACACTGAAGGGCCCTTGATGGCTGTGGACTGGGCAAAATGTGTCCTGTGAATCACTGTATTAGGTGTTCTCATGTACGTTTCTTTGGAGTGAAAAGAAATCGTGAGTGTAAAGGTTCCAGTTGTTCCAGGTTTCCTATCTTTCGCCTCCTGTCTTGTGTCTTTGTGGCACTTGCTTTGCTGTTAGCCCCTATTCTTTTTGGTAGCATCGCATAATTTGTCTGTAGACTTTTAATTTACTCTTGTAATATATTTTTTTATGAACAGAGTTTAATTGCTCTTTAAACCGCAGCAGTGAAATCTACTCTTTGAAATTAGTCTTAGATGTGCTGTACTGCTAAAGCTGCTGCAGGGTCCAGATGGCAGGACCAAGGACACAGAACGTGATTTGGAAGTGAGATACAGTGAGTGAAACTTGCTTCTGAGAGGTAACTGAGAGCAGCTCATGCCTTAAAACAGGGACTCCAGAGAAGGTTCTAAAATAGCGAGTAGTCTCCTTGTCTGCCGGTCAGAAGCCAGAGGAAGAATGGCTTGAAGTTTCTGGTGACTGCGTATAGGACTATTTAACCACTGCCTGAAATTCTAGGAAGAGGGTCAGTTTGAATTTGACATGCACATCTTGATAGAAGTTAATACCGAAATACACCATTCACGATTGATGCTGGCTTCCTCTGCTAGCCAGTCTGCTGTTTGACAAAGCATCATTTGTTCCCCTTTTTTATATCACTATCTAAGGAACAGCTTCATTCGATGACCAGCTACAAAAAAGTACAGCATTTCTTTGTGGAAATCATTCTGCTTTTATAATTCTCTTGAATAGTTGTGCAGCAGGCCTCAGCAACCATTTTGGGGGGAGGGTAAAATTTTATGTCACTTTCTTAAGAATTTAAGTTTATAGTTTTGTTGTGTTTCTGGCCAGATACAGGTTTAAATACCCGTCCAGGCCACTCACGGCATTGTACAGTCTTAACTGAACAGAATTCTTGCTTCTAAATGTCAACACCACCTTCAGGGCCTGAGATTTATAACCAGCTATTGAAGCGATTTAAGGGCTGTGTTTCATTGCCTGGAAATACCACTTTGGGGAGTCCGAAGTATTTTTGTCATCACAATATTTGTGGAATGAACAATTTGAGTATCCCTTTTGATGGGGTCTGTGTTTGTTTGTTTTTTATTTTTTTAGCTCTGGCATCTTTGTTTAAAAACAAAAGAAACAAAATAGACTCAGTATTTGGTTTTTGACCTCAGCAATACAATATAGTAATGTTTCTTTCCTAAAGCTTTTCATACAGTTATCCACCTAAAGAAAATTACATTTTCTGGGTGTGCATAATTGATGAAATGGGAGTAAAATTCCCAAAACATCTGTGTGTGATGAACATTATGTATGTTTAAAATATAAGAATTTCCAAAAAAAGTAGAATTTCCAGCTTTAAAAAGTAAAAGTCTTAGGCATTAGAGATACATATTCGTTATCTTGCAAGGTAAAATGTCAGAGAATGTTAAATGTAGTCTTACTCAGGGAGGGAAGATGTTGGCCAACTGTACTCAGATCTGTTCTGATTTACTTTCCTGCTTTATTTCTTAATACAGAGAGAGCAACAAAATACAGTTTTAATTATCACAGCTGGAGTGGACACTCCTTGAGGTAGCTGAGAGAGTCTTGGCCTAGGAATGAGAAGACATTTATGTCTAGCTGTGAGCTTCTGGTTTTTCTTCTTTCGAATTTTGTCTTTCAGCTAAACATATTACTCAGATGAGTTACTGCATAGAGACTCAATCAAACAAAAGAGGCAAAAATGAGCTGAACTAGGTTAGTGGCAGATGTTGAGATGGGGTCTCATCTGTACCAAGCACCAAACACTGTAGCCATTCTTGATGTCTGCATGTGTCCCCCAAGGTTCCAGTTATCACAGTTTGAACACATCAATGAAAGAATTGACATTCTATTCCCTTACTACAGGACTTTGAAGAGTAGTATTTTTCATAATAGGGTATTGTGCAAGGTCAAAGGAAAATTACAGATCATGCTGCCAGAAGAAAATCATCTTCAAAACTGATTGTTAGGATGCCCTTTTAAAAATTAAAAATAAGGAAAGGACAACCCACATTACTGTAAAGTAAGAGTGAATAACTCATCAATTTAGAATTGCAACATTTTCCAGTAACACTCCCTTTGAAGTACGTTAGCTGCTTTATTGAGGAAAAAATAATATTGTTCTTCCAAAATTTGTATAGTTCCAAAGTTTGTCAAATGCTTTCTATAGTTTATTTTCATTAAATCAGTATTTTTTGAGAAGTGTGGTGGAGGTAATCAAGGTTTTATGTAGGTGTTAGTCTGAGTAAAGCCTTAATGTGTACAGTAGGTATCTATGACCTATAGGATGAATTAGGGGAAATAAGCTTAACAGTCTTTCTTTTTTATACACTTAATTAATATTAGAAAAGAGCCAACTTTTAGGTAATGAAATGTGTATTTGAGTCCTAAGACTAATTCCACTGCAAAAAATTGTCCTATAAGTACTATATCCTGTAAGTCACTTTAGTACTTGAGAATAGCTTTCCTATAAATTTAAAAATCCATCACTGAGCACTGTTTTTTAAAAGTTACTTTTATAATACTCTTTTTATTTAGAATATAGTCTTATCTCTTAAAACAGGAGGATATGGAAAATGAATAATGGTAACTAGGGGTCTTACCCTTAATTTATGTCCTAAGTTTTTATAGCAGTTACTGTAGCGAAATTTTCTCATTTAAGTTCATTTTGGATTTGTAGTTAACTATGAATTTTTTTTTGTTCTTGTTTTTTTTCCGGTTAACTATGAATTTTTAAGAAAAAGCATTCAACTAGTTTTACTCAATTTGACAAAAAAAGTTATTGACCTAGTTAGAGTCTCTAAAAGTTAAACATTTTGCTCACCCTTTTTCTTAGTCTATTTCTTGCACTTAGAGGTAGGCCTAGATCATAGTCTCTTGATAAATAGTTGAAAGACTGAATCACATCAATACTTTTTGTAAAATGTATGGCCTGTCTGTTTTGTATTATCTGTTTTTAACATAACAGAACTACACTGTGGATTAGTAATTAGCCCTGGAATTAAGTAATGTTGGTTGGTATGTGCTTGTGTTAGAGAAAGTACAGTGATAGCACATTTGCTTTTAATAGACCAGGGGAATGCCTGAGCAATTTTCTGTCTTACCACGTTCACTGCTACTTTGATTTTTGAAAGTAAGGTATCATTTTGGTCCAGAATTTACCTGCCAAAATAAAGATATAGCAGGGGAATCTATTATGGGTAGGAGCGCTGTGCTTTGCTTGATCTAAACAAAGCATCTCTACAAGTCCAGTTATGAGCTAACCTGAGGAGTAAGGTTCCCCCAAAATAGGTACAGTAAGGTATGTAGAGTGAATGTTTGTCACAGTGGGTGACTAGATGATTGTCATCATAATCGTGTGGTACTAGAATGATGAGCATCATTACTTTACTTAATATGATCTTTTAAAATTGACTACGGCTTTCACTCCTGTCATATAGGAGATCTAATTCCCTAGTGCCCTTTGTTCTCTACCTGAGCTCACAGAGTAAGATCTCGGAAGTATCTGCCACACAGAAAAAACATGTCCTGTGACCAATTGCATTACTATGAGCAGAACACAATTAGGCGGCTGTATGTTTCTAAAGAAATGACAGCATCAGCCTTAGGCGTACAGTGGTACTCTATATGTTCTTTCTAGCAGAGCCATATTTTAATAAAAAGGTGATTCTTATCTGGGTATGTAAAGATGTACTCAATTCAGAAGGAAGCCACTTTTAATATGAGTTGATCTTTGAGAATTTCAGCTGAGCATGGTTCTTGGGTTTTTTATTGTTGTTGTTGTTATACAGAGCCTTTGTCCCTTCTTTTCAACACAAAACTTTTACAATTCATAATAATGTTGCAGGGCGTGGTGGCACACGCCCAGCACTCTAGAGGCTGAGGCAGGAGGATCATTGTGAGTTTGAGACCAGCCTGGGCTACAAAGTGAGTTCAAAAGCAGCTTGAACTGCATAGTAAGACCCTGCCTCAAAAAGACCAAAAAAAAAAAAAAAGTTAAATAATAATGTTAGCATTGTTTTAAAACACCATCACATTTACTTTGATTACATTACTTCAGTTATATTAATAAAATTTTAGTAATTACTGCTAAATAATATCTTAATTCAAAGATTTAAACTAAAATTTTTAACCATGTGTAGAAATACATTTGATGTGAATTTGCTAACCTTGTAGTTTCGACATTGTCAGTGTTATATGTGTATAGTTTCTCCAAAATCAAGAATTTCCTTGGGGGCATTATTTTGCTGCTTGCACATTCCTTCCTGCTCTGTTAAATCTAATGAGGTTTATCTGTCCTCTAGGTGACCTACAAACGAGATCTGTATGCGGCTGAATCGATTATTAAGGGTATGTTTGGCCTTGTAATTGTCAGTTCCTGTGTTTCAAAAAAATGTAAGCCAGTTCAGAATTTCTCATGACATTTTAAATCCCAGCTGTCTCAAAAGGATAAATGGCTGTAGGCCACTGAGGTCTGTGATTTTTTTTTTTAGAAAATAATTATATTTTGTTTCCTGTTATGAAATATCAGTCAGGGCACATTGATTTTAATTTTTATAAAAGAAATACTTTTAAGTGTGGGGCATTGGTACTATTGTGAGTCAACAGTGAAAACTTATATTTTAATGAAATTGTAAAGATATCTCATGTGTACTGCTATGATGACTGCTCCATCCCTTAATACTGAGATAGAGTCTTTCTTATGAGAAAAATATTTTTAAATTTCTTCTTTTGTTCTGATGGTAACTGCCATTTTGTTTGGTAATTTTAGGTACTATATATGACAAACCCTTTCTTGTTTTTTTAAAGTGCAATGACTAAGATCTTAGCTACACAGAGGCTGTTCTAATTAATACCCACAAAGTCCTTATTATTGTCCTTAATACTGAGCTAGGATGCAGGAGGATATTTCTGTACTTCTGTATCACTCATCATTAAATTGGATTTCTTAACCTGGGCATCATACCGGCATTTTAGATCCTGTAGTTCCTTTACCTTAGTGATGTTGTGCATTGTGCATTGTGTAGTAGCACGCTTGACCTCTGCTCACTAGATACTTAGAAGGACCCTTTCCTCTCGCACTTCTTTCCTGGGTTGTATCTCTTGATATCGTCAGATGTCCCCTCAGTGATAAAGTTGCCCCTAATTGAGAACCATGGTTTTAAATATGTAGTCTTAGCAAGATCAAAAGGGGTTACTCCAAATCATGAAGCAAATAGTGTTTTGTAAGAAGTTAGGAATTAACTATCCAAATTAGATTGTAGATAGAACTATATATGTTCAAGTTTTGATTAAGAGGTAAACTTCTAAATTTAAACATTTATTGAAGTAGAAAAAAATACTGAATCTGAATTCTGAATGCAATAGTTCATTCTAAAAGTTTGATAAATGCCTTAGCACCTTGTTTTTGGTAAAAGCTATCAACTGACTTCACATGCAGAAAACTAAAATCTCTTTTCAGATAATGACACTGTATTTGCCGTTTTTGCTCTAGTTCTTTGTTCTTCAAGCATATTTAGTTTCAACCCGTTAGTGTACTGTAATTTGTGCATATAAACATCTTCTATAACCATAAATCAAAATGTTGACATATATTTATATATCAACCAGGCAATATGTAAATATTACTTCAGAGAGATTGGCTAAACCATGATGTAGTTAGTTACGCTCTCTACATAAATATAGCTCTCAGTTTGGTTCTGTCACAAACTCGTATCTGAAATACTTAGGTAAAATGGAAATGGACTCTTTTGTGACCGATTAGTAAGTGGTTCAACTGAGGATTCTAATTGCAGAGACTATGACTTTGGAAGTTGTTAGTAGAGAGAATTTGTTTTTCTTATTAAATATTTGAAAAGTATTCTGTTTTATATGGGGGGAAATAATCATGCTGGCCGGATAAAAGCAGTGATGTATGTTAACCAACTCCAAGAGTTTCTTTGTCCTCTGAAGTTTGTGTTCTCGAAACTTCCCCGAAGACTGATGCTGCTGGGAGTAGAGCACCGCTATTCCCGTTCCACCCAGGGCAGCAGTGTGGTGAACAGAGGACTTGAAAGTAGAATTCCTGGCCCCACCCCATCAGTCAGAATCTGCATGTCGAGAAGAACTCTGGGCGATTACTTTGCACAATAAACTCCAAACGCATTCCTCTCTGTTGCCGCTCAGCCTTTTGTAGCTCTTTTCCGAAACACCTTATTGCATTGCAGACTTTAAGTCTTGCTCTGTACCATCTCCAGGTGCTTGTTTGCTCACCTGAAGTAACCCCCTACGTTCATCACTTATACTAAATACTGTCTCCGATAATTGACATACTCTGGACTTAGGAAAAAGAAAACTTTTGGATTTAAAAAAATTAAATTCCAAAGTATAATATAGATACAAGGCTACCTGAGTTACAACATATTCACCCATTCTACCTTTCTGTAGTGTATTCTGTAGTGTGTTGGATATATCATGTATATCCAGGGGAAGAGAATGGAGAGGATAGGTATAGATACATTGTGATTCATTGTGAGCGCTTGGTTCACATGATTATGGAGGCTAAGTACATGATCTACTATCCAGAGTCCCAAAAAGTTGGTGATTGGTGTCTGTACGACCCCACAGACTTGAGAAACAGGTAGAGCCAGTAGTCTTTGAACTTAACCTGGGACTGAGAGTGGGAGAAAAAGAATATCCTAGCTCCAGAAGAGGGGGAATTTGCCCTTTCTCTGTCATTTTGTTCCGGTCACGTCTTCAGTGGGTTGGAAGATGCCCACCTACACTGATGCCCACCGTGTCTTCTCTGTTCAGTCCACACACACAAAAGCTGATTTCTTTTTCTCATGTGCTCACAGACACACCCAGAAATGTTCACCAGATCTCTGGGTTTTCCTTAGCCCAGTCAAATTGGCACACACATTTAACTGTCATGCCTAGTAAATGTTCGTGTTTTTCTAAACACTACTGTTATGTAACGTTTATTAGGCACTTACTTTGAGTTAGGCATTGTTTGAAGCATTTTATGTGTATTGTCTCTGCCTCTGTCAAGAACCCAAGGATGTGAGGAGTGTTACTGTTACTATATTATAGTGTGTTTAAAGATTCTAAGGCAAACACTACCTTGACAAGGATAGAAAATAAATTCTAACTATAGTGGTTTGCCGTACACTATACCTCTTTCATTACATGGCAGTTTTCCTTCTTTTTTCTACCTTAAGTAGAGCCTTTCAGATTCTCTTAGTTGGAAGCTGTGAGTTGCATGTGTTTTGGCATTCGGAAATTGTACTTTGGGAAGCTAAACCACACCGTATATTATATCACATTAGGATTTGGGACCACCACAGAATGAAACTTACGATGCATAGATGTTTAAGCTCGTTGTGGATAATAAATACTGTGGACCTGCTAGTCAATGTAAGTTCAGGTGTGATTTTTCCAAGGTATATATGAAAGCACTTGTTTTTGTTTTAAGAATTTGTTTTAAATTTCACCATTGTCCACAATGTAGGATGACCACATTTGAGACTGCAGTTCAGTGAAGGTGCGAAGGTGTCCATACTTTCGTTTCTTTTGTGTTCTCTAATACTGAGTTGCATTGAATTGGATGATATACTGACAGGTGCAGCTAGTTATTCCTTATGCTAACGCAGTGGTGGCAAACCTGTGTGACATGCATGCCCCAGCAGGATGTTTATTATTATTGAAAGCTCTGAAAGGTTTCCCATCTCTGCTGTAAAAGTTTGACTGGTAGAAACCTATGGCCTTTCCTTCCCATCTTACTGCTTGCCATACTTGCTTCAAACAAATGCAGATTGGGGTCCAGTGAGTGTATTTCTGTATTACATATCTTCTTTATTCTTTCTTCTTAAATGTAGAATGTAGAAATGTTTCTGGGGTTAGCTTTACCAGCACTTGGGCTAGGTGCTTTATACATGTTATCTCATTTCTTCTTTACAAAACTAATGTAAAGTAGAAATCATTGTTCCCATTTTATAGTTGAAAAAACTGAGACTCAGGCTGGGTAATTTTCTCTGAGTCACACAGTTGGTAAGAGCAAGACCCACAGTTTAGTCTTAGATCTCCAGTGTCTTTCATTCTGATGCTATTCTGGAACATGAGTGTTTTGTACCTCGGAATCATGCAGTTAGCACCCACTGTTATCAGTACTAGCTTCAGTGGGCACCCTGGTCATTCCTGAAGTTCATTCTGCCCACTCTGATTCCTTGGGCTAGGTACCCTGCCTTCAGCTCACATGTAAGCCTGGAGATCTTAACTACCCACTGCGTTTCTGAGCATACCATATAGCCTTTCGACTATGGCGTGATTGTTGCTGGCATCACAGATGTGTGGAAAATGGAAACTAGTGAAATGACAGATTTCAAACCATGCCCGGAAAGGGAAGAATTCAGTATCAGAAGAATGGTTTTTAAACGACCATTTGCGTACTGTTTATTTATTATTTATTTATGACACACTTGGCAGTTTAATGCTGCGTATATAGACATAACGGGCTTTTCTTTTCTACTTTGGGACTTTTTTCATGCTGTTATGTGAGTATTAGTGTTCTGTAATTTGTCACCCTGAACTGCATTTACTCCTCATTATGAATTACTGATGCTCAACAAATATGCTGACATACCATTTTCTTGTTCATTTGTTTTTCAGAATGTAAAATGTTGCTCGGACAAATATCAGCTCTCTCGTCTTTCAGAGCATTTTGTATTTTCCAGTTTACTCGTTACTAGAATAGCATATATGTATTTTGATCCATCTTAATTTATGTTCAGGTCAACAAGGAAATTTAAATGCTAGGAAAAGCAGTTGCATGTCATTGATATTTAACTTAGGTTTCCTAATTTCAGGCCACCTTTTGACTACTTTCTCTCTTTAAATTATTGTATATGGCAGGTGTAGTGACTTAGTAAAATTTCTAGTTGATTGACTTTGTGATCCATCCCTGGCATGGGTGGAGTGTACTTCTAGGTGTGTCTGGATGGGTACACAGGTGTGGTCGTGTCATAGGGTATGGCGTGTGTGCCTGGTCCCTTGCCCATGTCTGTCTGGCCCTCTGCCCCTATTCTGTTTTGAACTAAGCAGTTTTCCTTCACCACGTCTTCTGCCAGGATGTCTTAGCCTTGGCTCCAGACAATCATGGATAAAAACCATAGTCAAATTAAACCTGTCCTCCTTTAAATTGTGGGTATTGGGTGTTCTTGGTGACAGAAACATTGCTTTATACAATAAGTCTTCAAATCTGTTTTTTATCTTACACTGGTAGTTTTTGAAAATGGAATTTATTTTAGCATCAGTGTTTGCATGGATTTCCACTTATGGGTGTTTAAAAAATGTAGAAAAAGTAGTAATCGTTT